TAGACTGACGTAAAGTAAATAATAAGTGAAGAAGAACAAAGGGAAAGAGAAACTGGAATCTTAAACCCTAAATTCAATCTAAATGTTTGACTTCTGAAGCTGAACAAAAGTTTGTAGTTTTATAGTTTTATTTATCGTTTCAGTGCGTGCAACACAAATTGTTATAACACTAGGCCTATAGCTTTGTAGAGTAACAAAGAAGGTTGGGGCTCCTGTAGGGAAGTTTCTACATTATCTCTCAAAGCTTCATTTACTTCCATTGCTGCAGAAACACTGTTTTATCTTGATCCCTGAAAGAGGCCAGAATGCTGTTTTTAGGTTATTGACTGGTTCTAAAACTTTTGACCCCAAGTGTAGAAAGGTCAATGTTTTAGTGATATTTAAATACTGTCTGAATGCACAATTAATGTTTTGTTCATAAATTGCAGTCAATATTCAACATGATTCCTGCTGACGACCAGAAGAATCTCCCTGAGGATGAAAACACACCAGAGAAGAGGTCTGAAAAAATCTGGGAATTTTTTGGGAAGACAGACAACGGTAATTCATTATTTATTAACTCCCTACACCCTACACCCTACACCCTTACCCTACCTTTTTAATTTTCTTTTACACAATTTTCTACTTATGTCCTTCAACAGATAAAATCTCGGAGGGAGAATTCATTCAGGGCGTGATGGACAACAAGGACATCTTGCGGTTGATACAATATGATGAACCTCAAAAAATTAAAGACAAGCTAAAAGAGAAGAAGAATTAGTTGGCTGGCAAGAAAACTCTTCACGTGTTTTTATTTCTCCGTTTACATTGTTATGCGATATGACTGGTTGAAAGCTTCACCCATATTTCATATGTCTTTTCTTCTCAGTGCTAGCAGCCAAACAGTGTTGTGTTTTTGTCTTGTGTACCCAGAAATAACAAGACATTGTATTCAATTCTAGAAAATATACTGTTGTCAGAGGATCTTTAGAAATCAATCGCAGAGTTGGTTTCTTTGTTAATCCAGTATTATTCTGCCCTACAAAGCCAAAAAGGAGTACATTTGGTTAAAACTGACCAACATTTGATATTGAGTTAGTGTCCCTAAAAACTACAGTGTTATACCATATACTCTATCAAACTGCAGTTTTTAAAAAACAACCAAACTGTGGTTACTGCACTACGGCTACTTAAGCCTAACAAGCTAAGAGGCCAGCTAAAGCTAAAACCTTCTCCTGTTTCCTGAAAAGAGAAACAAATATACATGGATTCTCTCACATCTTAGTAACTGTATCTGTTATAACTAAAAGAGTAAAAAAGTTATGCCAGATAAACAACTTCATCTGCTAATTAGCCTTGCTAGCAGAGAGCAGCCACCTTTGCAGCCTCTGAATCATTTGATGTTATG